AGTACTAAAAACATATCAATTTTATTCATTTTTATGGACAATTCACGCTTGACCAAAAAATTGACTATGCCAACATTTTTTCACAAAAAAGACTTAATTGTTCCTAAGACAGTTTCCTTGTAATTTGAAATGTATGCGACATTCCAAATTCAACTGTCGGCGAAACATACTGACCTGATTGTTCAATATACCGAATGTGGCTCCTTTTTCGCATGTATATTTTTGGTGGGGCATTATTATGCATATTTAGTACCTTCTAGTACTATCTACCAATATTTATCTAGCATCTAAGTGTAACTGCTTTCTTACTAAGTGTCGCTTAACCCTTTTTATCTTTCAACCGTCTCCATATCTATAAATGTCTAAGGTAATGACAATGACCTTATGTAGTTAGTGCATAAGAACATTGGTCTGAGGTGTCACTTTCTAAGACAACTTGTTTGACTATTTATTGGTTATTGATGTAGTAGTCATTCGATCAGCTGGCCGTATTAAATTGGTTCATAATTTTTTTAAATATGATAAATTGTGCACAGTGATACAAGATTTTGTGTCTTTTTCTAAAGCAGCTACAGATGAATCTAAAAATGATGATTCAACAAATGAAAAAACTGATTCAGTAGAAGCAAACATGGAAACAAATGAAGCAGTAGATGAGAATGTGGATACGACTAAAGCAAGCGACGAGACTAACGATACTACATTACAAATAGAAGAAGGAGTGGAGAATAATCCTGAGTGGTACAAGCATAAGTTTTATAGCAGGATTTTTGAGTCACTTTGTAGACGCCGCATGCCCATTCTTCTGCCCAAGTACAAAGAGGTAAGTGTTCTTTTTTTTAACAAACTATAGAGGTGTACTTCCTCTTTTGATCTGTTTTTAACAAATTTTCATTTTAAGAATATATCTTCGCAGTAGTCCTTACTTATAAGCAATGGTCGGAAAAGGCGTTCTACATACATAGACACATGTTAAAACCACCAATTATTAATTAATTACCCTTTCGAATTCCGGATTTCCGGACGAAAGGAACTCCTCTCTTTATTCTATTTATGACGATAAATAGCTGTACAAGGTTAAGGCCGTTAAAAATGGCACTTATTCATCTTGTTTAAGCGTTCGACAGTTCTTTTAATAAAAAATATTAAAATAATCTACTGTGAACATTTTCCTTTTAAATTATGACATTTCTGATAGTATTTCGAATTTATAAACATCTATCGAGTTCTTAGGTTTTCGCGATTGTTACACATAGGAAATGAAACTGTTTTTACGGATTTAAATCGCGTATATTTGTTTTTTCAAACGGTTTGTTTGAAAATTGATATATTATAAACATCTGTCATGCTGTGTTTTTTAATTTAAATATTTTTAGAGCGCGATCACAACAATTCTCATGCAAACTAAAATGTCCTAAAATTCCCCTCGTAAATAAAATTTTAATATTTTTTCTTAAGTTCACTAGCAAATGTCGCCGTTCCGTCAATGTGACCATCAATATGCTGTGTCTAAAGCTAGGGCGGAGAGTGACTATTCTTGTTACGTTTTTATTCTCTGTTTTGGTAAAAGGTTAGTTATCTACTGCATTTTTACATGGCACAGAATTACTTTAAAATCCAACTTCAACTTCCTATGTCTCCGAAACAGGAGGAATTCGAAACAGTAATTAATTAATATTTGGTGGTTTTAACAACTCTATGTCGTTCCTTGTACATGTATCCATATATGCGGAACACCTTTTTCCGATCATTGCTTATATGAGTTCTTTTTTCACCAGACCATAATGCAACTTCTGAAGAAAGATGATCGTTTTAAAATGAATTTGGATATCATCAAGGAAGAGGCAATGAAACTATGTGAGAAGAATAAGGAGATTAAAGAGAATGGAACTCCTGCTGAAACAGATGTGTCAACGGGTCCGGCTGAAAAGAAACTGCCAGCACGTTTACCGTACTTTGTAAAGGTTGGAAAACACACAGATACCTAGTAACATCACTGGTGAATAATATTTAGTAGCAGTAGAGCTCCTTGTGAAAGAGTTCGTCCAAGTACTGCCACCTTACCTATTTCTGCCGCCAAGCAGTAATGTGAGTATTACTGTGTTCCGGTTTCGAAGGGTAAGGGTGCTGGTGAAATTACAGGCACATGGGACTTGTCAACTTATGTCACAGGGTGATGGGCACAGTGGCAGTGCCCCTCAGATCTTTGCGATTTAAGGCTCTTGAGTGGAACTGCAACTGTTATGGACAGGCGTGTAACTTACCATCAGGTGCACGACTTATTCGTCCCGTCAATTGATATTATTAAAAAAAATCTGCCTCGTCATAAACAACGCATTTGCATTTTAGTAACTTTTGGCATCTAAAGTTTGTTGTCTTTGAAAAATATCAATTACGCTGATTTTGCTTAACAATAAAACTAAAACTAAATAAGATAATAATAAAAAAAGCTTATAGTAGTTGCAGTTGTCTGGAAATAATTTCGGTGAAAATGTCTACGCTGGCAGTTTTTCTGTACTCCTTGCGTATATCACTTCTTTAGCTTTACCTGTGGCCATCGAGTACATAACCAGAAATAGAGATGGCTTATGGCACTTTGTTTCTTCCCATTCACTTGTCCAGGGGTCAAATCACAAATTGGTTCAACAGTATTACGCTGTTAGGGAGATCGTTGATAAGGCCATGGCAAGGTGAATCATAGTTTCTGTTATAAAACGAATATAACTTATGGAACCAATTTTCAGGTGCTCGGCCGCCCGGCTCTACCCAAACGCAAGCTAATGCAAACATTCCTGGACCAGTTCCACCCGAAGACCATCAAGAAACACCGCGGCGTTCACAACTTGCTGTTCGTCGGCTTCAACGATAAACAGGACTTTGATAACATCCTCGCTGCCACTATGAGTGTTGTTGGTGAGTACTACCTTTACCCGTCGACTACAGCAACTTTACCACTTGACACTTGATTACTTACCACAATTTATTTACAAATATTACGAATAATAATAATTTTAGACTTGCCATTACATTTTTTATCTGGAAGAAATTTGAAGCATCATAGTGTGTAAACTTTTGTATCAAGTTTGCTTACTGGCAAAGTTACGTAAAGAAGCTTATGATGCTATATTTTACAAACAGAAATTCATCATGTCTATAATATTATGACATTCGCATTTTATTTTCGAATTAAAGAAATGAAGACCATAGTGAGATAAAACCTACTATGTTTGCACAGCAGACATGTGTTTTTGTTTTACACATTCACTAGTCAAATTTTAAGTAATAAACTTGTTTTCCTTAATTTGACGTTGGCGGAATTACCTATTATTTAGATAGGGTTATAACATTTAAAAGAAGAAATCGTTCAGGAAAGCACTTCCACTCACTTTTATTTAATTTGTTTAAAGTTTTAAATCATGTTTGCAGGAACTTCTACAATCGAAGTGAGAATCAGTGAACCAACAAAGGTGACTAACACCAACCAGGCTGAAACTGAGAAGTCAAATGATGAAGTGCAAACCAAAACAGAAGATATTGACCAGGTCCTTAATGAATCTCTGGACAATCAAATTGTTGATTTACTGAGTGCTATACGGGAGGAAGAAGAAAATAAAATTTCTGAAGATAACGATGTTGAATTCATTGAAAATGAAACTACTGAAGTTAAGACTGAAAAACAAACTACCGAAGTGAAGACTGAAAATGAAACTGCAGAAGTGAAATCTGAGTCCAATGGAGAAGCAGAAACCCAGGAAGAGATAGTGGAGAATAAAAACATTGAAACTATGAAGAATGAGGGCAAAGAGACCGGAAGGGCTACCCCTACACGGTCCTCAACCCGTATAGCGACATCGACACCTAGTTCTATTATTAGGACTAGACGTACAAGCAAACTGGCACAAAACTAAGAACTACAAACTATGACCATGCACGAAAAACATAGAAATTCGGGTTAATTTAGGAGGGTAATAGTGTCTACAATAAGGGAGTCGCCAAACTTATTAACCTGGAATCGCTTGATCCTGTCACAAAAAGCTTTTCTTTATAATAGCTAAGTGACGAGACTAACAAGTCGTTACGTCTATACGAAACACGCAACGCTCTTATTACAGCTTTTTCTGACAGACTTAACGTGATTTCCTGTGGATAAGTCTGATGTCTTCTTAATATATAGTACCCCTACATCATCTAAAATACCTGCTTGATTAAGAAACAGCAACAAAAAGGTAGAGACATTTCTTGTTTATCTCGCTTGGTCTGCCGATACTTTGTCACAAAATTAATCGTGTAGAGCATACAGAGCAAGATACCAATAAATATCTTAATAATTTCAACAGCTTAACTTGAGATTTTGGTCTATATTTGAGTCTTAAAATTCCAAACTTCACCATTAATAATAATGTTTCAAGTATTGTCCAGATAGGTTCGTCGAACTACCCTTAATTATTAGACTAACTAAATAAATGACTAATTATATAAGATATCGCTATATGACACACTAGTAGTATGTACAAGTAGTATGTAATTTTAAAAATACGCAATGTATTGTTTATTTAACTGTTTTAATAATCGCAAATTAGGTTAAGTTTGATAATAATTATTGTCTATTGATTGAGGAAATAAATTTTTAGTGGGCATATCTTTTTTATTATTTCAAATATTTTGCAGCTACTTTCATTACGCATTAAATCTTGAAGAAGTCAACCAAAGAGTAGGCAAGTTTAATGTTATCTGATCGAAGGTGTATATTTTATCATCTAGGCAGGCATATAGCACACGTACACACAAAGCTCAACATCTACTTTCTAACTTTGTTAATAGTAATATTTTAAATTTATGTATAATTAACGTGACCAGACGTCCCGCTTTTAGTAGGCGTTGTGTCTCCCTGTCCCCAAAATATTTAAAATTGTCCCTCTCACAAAACAGTACACACGTACCAACAATTTTTTCTTAAAGTCGCGCGAAAGCGAAAAATATATAAACAAGAATTGTTCTTTTTTTAAAATTTTGATTTAAAACAATTTTAATTCTTTTATTTTTTTATCATTAAACATTTAACTATCATAAACATGTCTAACAATAATAAATTTACAGGCGTCCCGCTCTGGGAAAAAATAATGGTCATGTTATTCTTATTCATTTCTTCTTTTTAATTATTTTTTTCTAGTTATATCATGTAAAATTAACTTTTTTTGAGCCCTGTCTTAAGTTGAGATTCATAAATACGACCCTAAATGCTCAAGTCAGGATTTGAGCAGACTTGAGTATGATTTCAAGCACTGGAAATACGACCCTAATGGCAAGGACTTGAGAATACTCCTGACTTGAGTATTGAGTAGAGTTCTGGAATACGGCCCTTAGACTTGTATTAAGCAAAGATGGCGAGCAAGGCAAGATTTTTCGTATGTACAAAACGAACTTTGCCTAAGTTTTAGCAAGAATTTAAATTAAAATTTGAGTTTTCTTTGTAATTTCTTGCTTAAACTTAGGCAAAGTTTGTGTTGTAAAAACGAAAAACTTGCTTAGCTCGCCACTTTGCTTAATCGAAGTCAAAGTTCGTTTTATAAATATCAGCTTCTGTGTGTGAGGTTGTTAATTACACAGAGGAACACAAGTTCTTACCTGCAACGTGAGTAACTTACCCTATTTTGAGAGTCAAGGATCAATATACCAGTACATAAAGCTTTAACCTTACTGTATGTAGTTCTAAACGCTCTGTAATCCAAAACGTAGAAATAAATAGGTACATATATTTATACCAACATTTTGTATGCAAATATTTCACGCGGCAACTGTCACTGTAAGGTCCAATTTACATTGCCGCGGAAGGGAATGGAAGCGAAGTTTTGTAACGAAACTGTTCATAACCTAATTAACTTTACGGCAATTGTGTAACGTGCAAAACTAGATACGGTATCTACGGGAATACCCGAAATTGCGCGAGAATTCTCCAGAAGATGCGCGATCTGTTTTTTGGCTCGTATCTAGTTTGTATTACGTTACACAATATTGACATACAATTCGCTTCCATTCCGTGCCGCGGTGATGTAAATTGTGCCTAAACTCATGGTATAGTCAGGCCACGCACGGACGACAGTGGGCGGTGGCACGGTAAAAGTGGTGCGCAATGTAAACCAAAAATCAATACTAAAGTAGTAACGCGTGTCACTGTACTAGGATCGCTCTCGCTCTAATCGTTACTACGGACTCGGGATTATGATCTGTATCACAAACTGCAAGAAACGACATGACACCGGAAGGTAGGAGGGGAGGAAAGGGGCATAAAGTATGGTTCAGAAGTGTAGACTGGCAGAAACGCAGTACTTGATTCATAATTTTTTACTGCTTCAATTAATTCACATGAATGTGCTGAAAATGAATCTGAAATAATTTTTCGATTTTTCTAACACCAGCGAAATCCATAGCCAATATCCGGGGATTCCCCGTCCTTTTTTAGTAAAATGACCAAGGTTGAATTACGATAACAATGTTCATATGAACCAATGGCCACATACAGGGTGTCCGGTAAATAATGGATAAGCCTGAAATGCCTTATAGTAGAGCCTATGACTGTTAAACTAATATAAAGAAAAATATATCCCAAGTAGTATTTAAGATGTATATATATGTGTATGTATATATATATATATATATATATATACGACTTGGTACTTGGTGCAAAGGGCTGGTATCCTGGTATATATATAATATATATATTTCTTTGAATTTAATTAGTTTCACCTTATTTTACGTTTTTGTACACCACGACTACAAGTGAATCAATTCCTTCGGTTTTTAGTGTCCATAGTATTCTACGTTAACTGCGCTAATAAATAGGCAGTAAATAGTATGACTAACTATTGCACTTAATTTTTTTTTAAGTTTTAATTTATTTTCAGTGCCAAATTTTGTTTTTTAACAAAATTTTAAGCGTCTTTGATATAAAAAAAATGTATGATGACTTGAGTGGCCAACTATTCTAAAACAATGTGTGTTTAAAGTAGATTTTAAAATGGTTAATTTTTCTTTATATTTTTTTGGAACAGTTATAAGGCATGAAATGGCTTTTCCATTTTTTTTCACCGGACAACCTGTGTATTCAGAATGTTTAATTGGAAGTAATATAATTGAAGTCATTGTTTTTAACAAAAAAGGAGGATGTTCTCAATTCGACAGTATTTTTTTCTTAAGCATATTCCTCAAAAAAAATATTACACCTCTAAGGGTGGCAATTTAGAGGATGAATCCGGTTTATTGGTTTTCACTCACCGTCGTCCTTAACCGATTTCAATCAAACTTGGCAAATAGATGTAACTGCACAAACTTTTCAGGTCAATTTGTTATATAAAAAAGGTATGATTACTTAAATTAAACGTTGTTATCATAATTCTACTTTTTTTTAGCGTTATACGTCCATGAGTGTACGTATGTTGTACTTTGGTCACTTGCATTGCCGTATCTTTGTAATCCTGCTTACTGAATGTTTTGTCCCGTTGAATTCTATTTTCCCATTGCAACATCAATTTTTGTATATTATTTAATGCTAATGAAAAGTATTCAATTTCAGATTGTCCAATATCCTATTTATTACAAAACACTTATTAATTGTAATTTTAATATTGTGCGTATTTTAATTCTTATAATACCTACCGTTTCTCATACCTTTATATCCCGTTTATCCCGGTTACGCTGTAATACCAACTCCCATTCACACCACTCTTTGATTTGGGCCAAAGTTGTTTACTTAATTGTATGAGATTATTTAGTTAAGTCTAAAATTACTCAAGATTGAAATACGTACCAAGAGCTGGTTGATGTAGTACTCATAGGCGATGGTGTCAGTGACAGGATCCAGGGCTGTCTGCATCATTTCTTCGAACTCCTCCTGTATTTAATGCACTATATTTTAAATTTTTATTGAATTGATATTCAATTTTTTTTGGTGAAATTACTCCACTAGTTTGTTGTAATTATTAATACAAAGATCGAACTCTCAGAAAAAATTCCTTCGATCTGGCCGGATTCGAACCGACATCTTCTAGCATACCGTGTCAGACGCTATTAATAATTATAACGAACTAGTGGAGTAATTTCACAAAAAATAATTAAATATCAACTCAATAAAAATTTAAAATACAGTGAATACCGACATCTCTCGCCAGGGCTGGTAGCTGTAAAGGTACTAACTGAGTGATAAATCTGTCATAGATTTCCCATAGATACTCTCAAAGATACGACGCAAGCACATAGAAAAATTCGTGAGGTCCGCTGGTTCGTTCCGTGGCTAAGTTGATATAGCGTCTGGCACGGTATGCAAGAAGACGTCGGTTCGACGGTTTGCTAGCAGATGTCGGTTCGAATCCGGCCGGATCGAAGGAATTTTTTTAGAGTGAGTTGGAATTTTTTCGATCTTTGTATTAATAATTGTAACGAATTAGTGGAGTAATTTCACAAAAAATAATTGAATATCAATTCAATAAAAATTTAAAATATTGTTATTATTTAACTAAAATTAAAATTACTGCCTCTGTGGCCGAACGGTTACCATGCCGGACTGCCTCGCAGAGGTCCCAGGTTCGATTCCCGGGCCGTGAGAAATATTTGTATGGCCTACATTTATTTCTCTCTTGAGTTTGGGTGTAATTTGTGGTTGTCTATGTGTGTGTCCTTGCCACCCGTGACGGGGTTTCCCTAGTGCAGGGCTATGTTGAGTGTGTGCGTTATTATTATTATTATTATTTGCGCCACTTGCTCTAAGATCATGACCACACTAAATATTATTAAAACTTTTACATACCATGTATTTTAAAAAAGTTTAACAAAGGATATATGTTACGCAAAATAGGGTGTGATCTCTGGACCTGTACTCGCTCTCGTTCCCCGTCTGAAATCCGTCCAAAATAATTATTGTCAAATAAGTAATACTCGACCAAATTCAAAGAAGCATGATGTGAATAAAGCTTCATATTTGACGTGATATAATCAGAAATGAGGAAAGCCGTAGGAGAACTAAGGTAACCGACATAGCTCGAAGAATTGCTTAGCTGAAGTGGCAGTGGGCGGGGCACATAGCTAGGAGAACCGATAGCCGTTGGGACGGAAAGGTTCTTCAATGACGACCGCGCACCGGACGACGCTCAGTGGTTAGGCCCCCCACCAGGTGAACCGACGATCTGGTAAAGGTCGCGGGAAGCCGATGGATGTGGGCAGCGCAAGATCGATCGTCGTGGAGATCGTTGGGGGAGGCCTATGCCCAGCAGTGGGCGTCGTATGGCTGAATGATGATGACGATGACTTGACATTGTCCTTTCATTGGGTCTCGACTCAATGACGACTACTTATTTGACAATAATTGTTTCAAACGCAGCTTCGCACACCGTTGCGTGATGCGGAGCAGTGTAATAATCACCGTAGAACAAGGCTTTTAGATTTAATTTTATCATATTTTGCACTTACCGGGAAAAAAGGTTCGCCTTCTTCCATCATGATCTGCTGGAACTTTTCCTTGGTGAGGTACCCGCGACCTTCAGTGTCAAAGTACTGAAAAGCAGCCAGCAGCATCTCTGCGGATGCTGGATAGAACCTGACAAGTTTCACAATAGTTAATGATAACTATAAAAATGTGCCACAGTAATTACCTGGTCTCAAACTAGTGAAATCCCTGTATTGTGAGTATCAGAGCAATGCAATTCACTCCGCAATACTCAGATCAGGGGGTCTGTTACCGTTCTCCGTCCAACATCCGTCCGAAACAATTACCATCAAATTAGTAAAATTCGACTAATTCAAATGACAAGAAGCTTCATTCGCATCATGCGTCTTTTAATTTGGTCAAATAACTATTACTTATTTGACAATAATTGTCTGACAGAGAATGGGAAAAAATGGACCGGGAATCGAACCCGTGACTTCCGTGACCGTCAGGATGGCTGGTCGCCTGTGGCGTCTGGCACTGAGTGTATATTTAACAATTGCTACCTATTTGCTACTATTTGCTACTTTTTCTAAGTAATTGGTACCTTTAGAAATTTAAAAAAATAATTGACCAGCTATTCTGACGCCACTTTGTTTAGCATGGAGGGATTATCAATAATTGCTACTTTCGCGAATTATAGGAATACGCTTCCTATCTACATTAGTTAAAAAAATATAAACGATTGAAAATTTGTCGAAGGTAGCAAGCAATTCAACTGCCTCCGTAGCCGATCGGATACCATGCCGGACTACCACGCAGAGGTCCCAGGTTCGATTCCCGGGCCGGGAGAAATAGTTGTATGGCCTACAATTATTTCTTTCGTGAGTTTGGGTGTAATTTGTGGTTGTCTATGTGTGTGTCCATGGCACCCGCGACACAGGGTTTCCCTAGTGCGGGGCAATGTTGAGTGTATGCGTTATTTATTTAAATTTCTTGAATATATACTCAGTGCCAGATGCCACAGGCGACCAGCCATCCTGACGGTCACGTGACCTCCTTACCCAGGGACCACAGTGCAAACCGTTGGATCATCTTTTGTTGCCATTAAAAGCGCTCCATTAAAAACCCTATTTTTATTAGTTTCTTATATGATAGTTTCACAGACTTTTATTGGAATTAATTTATTTACTATAAAATATTAACCAACGTAGGTTTATAATTGCAAAAACAAATATATCTAATTTAAATTAATACCTACTTTTTACAATAACTGGATTTTAAAATATTTCCGTGTACCTACGCTACATATTACTGCACACTTAGATATGCACACGACTGTACTGGTGTGCTATTATTACGTATTTTACTACACGGTGCCTTTACCTGTGTTCGTTGATGGCTTTAACCATGTAAGGTAAGAAGTTGGTAAGTGGCACAGTGCCTACGGCTTCTTTGTTCTCCGTTGCCAGTATCACCTCCTGGACTTCAGCCTCTGTTGGACAGCAGCCTGAAGGAAACAAGATACCTACTACAAAATAATAGAAACAGGAATTTGGTCTAGACTATTCTAGTGACTATTCACCTCAACGGTTGAATGGATTCTGGCGTGATTTTTAAGTGCTAATTTACAGTGCCGCGGAATGGAATGACACACAATTTCGTTGCCAATATTTATTGGTAACGAAATTGTACGTAACATAATGGATACAAACTAGCAGATACAATACGGTAGCTGTGGGAATTCCTGAGACTGCGCGTGACAAGTTTTTTGGCTCGTATGTCTTTATAAACTACACACGAGCCTAAAAACAGCGTTACGCAAGTCGTCCATAGAAGTACTTTGCCACCTTACGTGTTTCTGCCGCCAAGCAGTAGTGTGAGCATTACTGCGTTCCGGTTTCGAAGGGCAAAGGGTGCTTGTGCAATTACAGGCACATGGGACTTGTCAACTTGTCTTAGGGTCGTATTCTAGAACTCTACTCAAAGCTCAAGTCAGGATTTGAGTATGGTTTAAAGCACTCGAAATCATTCTCAAGTCCCTGCCATTAGGGTCGTATTTCCAGTGCTTGTGTTTCCAAATCTAGAAAAATCTAGAATACGACTCTTAGGGTCGTATTCTAGAACTCTAATCAATGCTCAAGTCAGGATTGCATTGGAAACAGAAGCATTGCAAATTGAAATTGAACTTTGCAAAGAAGGATTGCAATTGAAACACAAGCACTGGAAATACGACCCTAATGGCAGGGACTTGAGTTTGATTTCGAGTGCTTTAAACCATACTCAAATCCTGACTTGAGCATTGAGTAGAGTTCTGGAATACGACCCTCAGAATATCGGACACAGTGGCAGTGCCCCTCAGATCTTTGTGATTTAAAGCTCTCAGTGGCACAGCAACTGTTATGGACAGGCGTGTCGCTTACCATCAGGCGAACGACTTGTTCGTCCCGCCACTTAGTTATTATAAAAAAGAACATAAAAGTCGCTTCCATTCCGCGGCAATGTGCATTGAGCCTAATATCATACAGCGTATTTTTACCTAAAATCGGTCCTTAGTTTCATTTCCTTTTTATAAAAACGAGGTTATACAACGATACGGCCGACGAAAGTAGTTGTCTAAATTTTTAGACAAACGCGCTTAGGCATTTGCCTATTCTCTCTATCCTTGGAAAACCCTACACCTGCATTCCAATCCTTTGTCATACGCAATAAGATGAAAAATTAATCTCAGGACAGCAGGACAGGCTGGAAGTTACGGTTTTATTTAGGCCCCAAATTCGCAACGCTTTGGTACGTCAAGCGGGGCGTTCAAGGTCTGCGCTGATACATAATATTCATCCAACATGATCCAACACAAGAGACAAGACACGTTTGCGCATTGTACCTACGCGCATGCTGGATGGCATTGATGGTGCAAAATAATAATATTTTCATTTTGTATGGCAATCAACAATGACAAAGCAACATTCGTATCAAAACCGGTGTCGCCACACGCACACATTTGCAAATGTAATCTTACATTACTACTAAGATAACATAATTTTGATTGGTTATAAATTATCAAACGAAAATAGACAATAATAAAAAACTTTTGGTAAAAAAAATTGAAACCTATTTGGATCTAATAAGGTTTTATTGTTGCTAGTCACATAAAAGCTAAAAATCCTATGAACATAAACTTCTTGGAACAAAAGCAAAAAGTTGACAATCTACAGATAGGATAGATGTGACATTTAATTGATATCGACATTATGTTTCATAACTAGCGGAATATTGAACTAGGCATTGCTTTATACTTGCTATAATTAGGGTTAATCACGGAGTATATGGAAATGGCATTCAAAGCAATTTC